ACGTTTCGCCGGCATCGTAGTCGGCATCATCAGTGAGTTTTGCCATTCTTTGCACCAAGCTACGAACTCGTCAAAGAGACAAGTGAAGTCAATCCCTCGACAAACGTTCTGCCGAAAACTGTTGCACTATCACTCCTCTTTCTGTCCTGGCCTATCTATCTACTCTTTACCCTCTTATCCCATTGCCGCCCTATCCCAACTTCTGACTTGTTTACATTCCACCCGTCAAATCAGCAATAAAGCCAAGACGTTGTCAGTGCGTGATGTTCATTTCGAATAAACCAGTACAACATTGAGGGCCTGGCAGTCAGGGAGCTGGGCAGACGGATAAGCAAACCGTCAGGGAAATTCGGCGTTATGGTCAAAATGCACTAGAAATTCACTTGAGATGCCGCATGTGACCAAGGCTAGGCGTCCACAGTTTGCTCAGATAACAGGGATTTAATCAAGGAGAGGACTCGTGAAGGGAAAGCCAGATATCTGCAAGCATGAGAATCAGAGCTTAGGCGCTCTGCTCAGTGAAGCGGCAGTATACGTGCTTCTAAGACCTTGAGAAATAGCACCTGGAATGAAATGCACACTGGCACTGGAACCGAGTGAAATCGGTCAATCAGAAAGAGAAGGAACGGATCTACGAGACAATGAGGGGATCCGGATTGGAGGTCCGAGTCTGATCATCCAATCGAAAGAGAGGAGGTCCAGGTGATTAGCAAGCGTGATGACGCCACATTAAATTTGCCACAAAAGGGCACATATTTTGACGAGTGGAATGTAAACAAGTGAGAAGTTGTGATAGGGCGGTAGTGGGATAAGAGGGTAAAGAGTAGATAGATGGGATAGGACAGAAATAGGAGTGATAGTGGAACCGTTTCGGCAGAACCTTTGTCGAGGAATTGACTTCACTTGTCTCTTTGACGAGTTCGTAGCTTGGTGCAGAGAATGGCAAAACTCACTGATGATGCCGACTACGATGCCGGTGAAACGTTTGAGAATATAACAAGTCCACTCTCTGATGCTGGGAATCATGATAAATACTATGACAGACGACTTCGGACTTGGTGCGTTCTACTAAGTCGCCCTGACATCAAGACCAAGTTGCGAAAACGAGGTCAACCCACTTCAAATACTCTTGTTTAGGGATTTACGGTTGTTACCAATTCATAAGTATCTACGGATTTAAAACTATTCCTTCAGCATGTACTTCAGCCGCTAGTATTTATGGTGTATGAAACTTCACTATGCAGAACTAAGTTGAAGCATCTTTCTTTACTTATCTATTTAATCAATTTTCATCTGCAATATACTCAACAAAGCATTTATAGATTTAAAGAGAAGCTGGATTTCGAAGAATCTCTTAATAGTTTGATACTGGCATACCTTTAATTTCGTTTGAGAAGATGGGTCGAAGGTATTTGTAGATTAGCCTCACCGGATATCGCAGGAGGATTGTCCTGGACTTTTATCTGTTGAATTGGGCGAAAAAAATCTCGGCTCACCATCTTACATTCGTATGAAAGTAGGGTTTCGAGACTACCAGTACATCTCATTACACCATCTTACGACCCCGATGACTCCGTGCTGAGCTTTCGTCCGTCATGAGACGGACATCGTCAGAGCCAGAAACCATTATTCTAGAAAAAATCACTATAAAATAATAAACCAAGGAAGGTGGCCAGCTGAGATCCTAATTACTTCTTATACCTCACTTTGCGATCTTAATGAGGCATTCCATGATTTAGTTGGTTGACGTATGCTTGTTCTACATGCATGTATGCGGGCCAAAGTGATGCAGAAAGGGGAGCGGATTTGTTCACAACTTTTGTCCATGTAAATAAGCTAGTGTGTGATCTAGTTGTCCTAAGTCTTGCTACAGAATCGTGGATACGTGTTTGCATGTGTATGCAACGACCCCGAGTTGGTTGACAATTTAAGGTACAAAAACAAGCTCCGGCTTAGTCTAACTTTCTCCTTTTACTTAGTGGCTCTTCCTGTTCACTTTCCTTCACTCTCTCCTACTCTCATTCTATTTAGAAGCCAGAGATAGTTCTTACATAGTTTCTTTCTTTCATTCCTCTTATTTAGGATGTCATTTGTTTTGTTAATTTCAATCGTCTCCCTGATCTTCCGCTTAGCTGTGAAGTCCCCATATCCGGCAAAAAGTTGGGATTTAGACCACTCTATCTGATGTCCTGTAGCGACCACATGTTTAGAAACTTCCAATTTCTAAATCTATAAACCTTTGCAGGCGGTTTTATGTTCTGATGGCCTTTTCTGTATGGGTTGGCAAGTCTCCCTCACGTGAGCAGTACTTCATGAGCACAAAACCTTATAACAACCTGATCCGTGGAGGACGTCGAAGAAGGCGTTATTGTTTCTTTAGACCTTGTGTTCATGTGTGCAATGGGACGCAATAACATACGGTAAAATTGCAGGATCAAAGGGTTATAAGTGTTTTAGGGGAGGATGCAGCTGTTCGGTTTCAATTGCCCCTCTTTCACGTTTGATCTGTAGCCACTTTAGATGTCATTCGCAGCCACTTAACATAACTTATGAGCAAATATAAAGGCAAAGCATAGGACATCCAACCAAAACATGAGATGGATAAGTGGACCAAATTGGAATATGAGAAGGAAGTTGGTTTGAAGCCGGCCACCTTTCTTGCCTTGACATTACGGACGAAAGCTCAGCAAGGATTTATCGGAGTTACAGGGCGGTGCGCCGAGGACCTATTCGTACAAATCTACAGCCACAGCTCCAAGGCAACCTCCCCACAGCCTCCGGTGGAGCCAACTTACGAATCCCTACCACTCGTCTCTTCATACGAAACGTAAGGTACTCCAACACCAATCATGGAATGCCTCATTAAGATCGCAAAGCGAGGTATAAGAAGTAAGTGGGTCTCAGCTGGCCACCCTTCTCGGTTTATTACTTTTTCATGATTTTTCGTGAATACTGGTTCCTGGCTCTGACGATATCCGTCACAGGACGGACGAAAGCTCATAACAGAGTCATCAGGGTCGTAAGACGGTGACCTGAGGTCTTCTTCTCACAATTCAACAGACAAAAGTCCAAGGCAACCTTCCTGCGGTATCCGGTGAGGCCAATCTACGAATCTCTTCGACCCATTTTCTCAAACGGAATGAAAGGTACGCCAGTATTAATAGATTTGTCTTTCACGTGTGTGCAGAGCAACACATTTTGGTAAAGGATGATTGCGTTACTTCTCCAAAGTTCATGTTTCAGATTTAGGAGATATAATTTGTCATGTTTGACTTTGCTCATTACTTACAGGTTGAGGGAAGCAGCTATGAAACAATTTCGCATCAACCTTGGGTTGAAGATGAGCCTTCGGAAGCTACCACTCCTTTTGAGACAAATAGCTCTCTACCAGAAACTCATGATGCAACCCGCTTGGGCTCGGGAGAGATTGATACCAGTCATCAGGCTTCAGGATCTCGGCAATCAGGGAGGAGGAATCTACACATTTCTGGATTCTCCTTAAACGGCGAGCATTAGACTCTTTTTTAATACTTAAAAAAAGTTATTGGTGTTAGCATATTTTATCGAACTCAGCATCTATAGACATTAGCTGTGAACTTTAGTATGTGGCCTGCGATACTGGCTTCCTTAATTATAATTTTATGGATGGGGCTCTTATTGTCTTATTACTCTTTATCTTAACGTTATTTATTATGTATTTGATGTTACTTTTTGTGGTCCTGTTGCTGTTGATGGTGTATTTTATATAAACTGATGACTATCGGTAGTTTATTAGAGTAAAATAGCTTCTTAGTAAATTTGAATAAGAACGTTAATTATTTTAGAAGTCGTTGGACCTCGTTTTGCAACTTGGTCGTTTTTTCGGGGAGACTAAGCTGAACGCACCCTGTCCAAAGTCATCTGTTATAGTAGTTATACTAATTCCCAGCCTTAGAGCATGGTCTTGGTCCCAGACGTGTAACTGGCATCGTAATCAGCATCCTCTTGGAGTCTAACAATTCTTAGCACCGATCTACAACTCAACAGAGGCAAGTAAGCCCATCTCCTGATTAACACATATACTACAACCGAGTAAAATCGGTCAACTTGTAATAAAAGAAATTGATTTTCATGGGCATGAGGGCGACTCGGGTTGGAGGTCCAAGCCGTATCAGCAATTCCGGCAAATATAGAGGTAGGGGGTCTGAGTAAATAAGCAGGCATGATAACGCCCAATTGGCATTTTTGAAAAAGTTCATAACTATGAAATGTATATTAACGATCCGTTTATTATTTTTGTTCTTGGTAGGTTCTCAAATTGATGACAATTTGCCGATACGATCAGCTATTCGTACATGCCACCCCCCTGGAGGCGCTTCGCAAAATCCGCTGTGGTGATTCCGATACGAGTTTATATGTATCAGAACTTTAATATTTTTCACGTTGTGCAATCCTTACAATTTTGAGCCGTAAATTTGCAATTATCTTAAAATTATCACCTTTTATCTTTACACCAATGAGAAAATCTTGATAAATTTACGTTCACACTTAGCAAACGATCAATTTGCTATTGGTTAAGCTAATGAGCCAGTTAAATGATAATTTTTTGGAAATTACTTTCAATTATAATAAATGCAATTTTTGTGATCTCTACTTGCGTACATACATCTTGCCAGATATGTATACCCTGTATTTTCCTTTCATTCTTATATTCATTCCACGCGTGTATATTTTTTCCGCGACATTGATGCCCCACCCATTTACAGACAGCTAACCTAAAATTTTGCCTTTGCATGCAAATGTTGCAAATGGTTTTTATCTGTCTTTGCTTTTATCTATTCGTCTCATCTGCTTGCTCGCAGTTTATAATCATCTGGGTGCTAATCTCTTCATCGCATTTCTATAACATCGCGAACATTATTATTGCTATTACTATTGGCCTGGATAGCGCAATTCATAACACCATTCTTACCATATATTTGTTTTACGGAATATAAATTCAAGTAATTGCTTTTTGCACGATAGACTTCTTTAAAACTTCGTCTTTGTAGCTGTATCCGAATCCTAGAGATGAAGGAGAAAATTTATTTGGGGAATAATAAATGCTAGCTAGATTTTTGAGTTAATAAATTGACATGCACATCACCCCTTGGATGAAAGGTATAATAGTATGTTAGCTTAAGCACGCTCACTAGTGTACTATTAATAGATTGGAAGCTTTTTTTCTAGGTGTGAGAAAAACATGCATTCTTTACGTGTACACTAAGGGAAAAAGTTACCAAGCTTTATAAGAAGAAAGGCAGCTGGTTACACTCCAACCTAAATCTTATATACTGACTGTCCACTTAATGAGGTATATAACGCTTTTGTTAGCAAATGTGTGCTTTCCCTAAATGGATATCGATAGTTGCTATGGCGGTGGATGTCAATCACCTAGAAAATGGAGTTAAAGAGAGAATTCTCCGTTTAGGCTAGCGAAAGCTTGCATAATAAAACAAAATAGGCGAATCGAAATTTATTGCTAGCCTCGAAAACTTCTCAGATCGAAGTTTCAACGATCTCATGAGGACAGCTCAACGTGGTGGTAGCGATCAGAAAGTTAATGTTAGGGTCTAGTGGATTAATAAGTGAAGTCGCAAAGAATGAGGCAGACAAATTAGTTGGACGATCATTAATGGGAAAAACTTACCTAGTGAGCACGAGTTGGGCTGAGCTACTGCTACTACTACTACAACTGAGTAAAATGTGGTCGGACCTCGTTTTCTCAACTTAGTGGCGTTGTCAGGGCGACTTAGACGCACCTCCGCCACAAGAGCTATCATGAGTCCCAGCATCAGACCGTGGACTTGGTACATTCTGAGACTTTTCACCGACATAGTGGCATCATCAGTGCGTTTCCACTCTCAGCTCTAATCTATAACTCGTAAAATATACAAATGAAGTCAATCCCTTGACCAACTTTCTACCGAAGCCATTATACTATCACTCCTCTTTAAGTCTTGGCCCATCTATCTATTTACCCTCCCACTCCCGGCTTATCACAACTTCTGACTTGTGTATATTCCATTACTGAAGAGGTGTGTCCTTTTGGCTAG